CTCGGTGCATGTAAGTGGCAAAAGCGTCCCCGCGCGGGGTTAATCCCCCAGGATGAAAAGCCCTGTTGTTCGGCAGCTCCGGGCTCCTAGGGCTGCAGGCGCGAGCGGTTGAAGGGCGGCTGCTGGGACAAATCCTTAGGGAAGAGGTTTTTCCAGGTGAAAGGAAAGGAGGGAGGAAGAAAAACAAAACAAAACCCCCTGAACCTCCCCAAAACGAATGCCGGTCGCTGATGGCTTTCTCCTTGCTGCTGGCGCAGGGGGGACGAGTGAGGGCTCGCCGCCGGGATGCCGCTGGTGAAGAGGAACATCGAGCCCCGGCACCTGTGCCGGGGGGCTCTCCCCGAGGGGGTGACGAGCGAGCTCGAGTGCGTCACCAACAGCACGCTGGCCGCTATCATCAAGCAGCTGGGCAGCCTCAGTAAGTGGAGCACGGGAGCGCGCCGGCGCTCGCTCGCTCGGTCCCCGTCGGTCCGGCTCGCCCCCCGTGGCGAAGAGGGGCGAGCCCCGGCGCCCACGGTCCTTCCCTGGCCGCTCCGTCCCGCGGCGGCAGGAAGCCTTCACGAGCCCTTTGCTGCTAGGCTTGAGGTGTCCGGAAATGGGAAGGTCAGAATAGTTGCTAAAATAAGACCCACCTCGTCCTTAGAGCGATCTTGGAGCCAAGTCACTACGCTGTATGAGAAATAGCAATTCTTAAAAAGCTGCTAAGAGCAGAAAAGCTTTGGCAACAATTTTTGTAATACTGCAGAAATCCCAACACAACAGGAAAGCAAAGTTAACTAAAAGAGTGAGAGCTGCTGATATATTGACCTGGAGTTTTCATTAAACGTAAGTAAGGATCCATGAAGTGAAGCTGTTTAGAAACATAAAAAGAAAACCAGTGCGAGATGAGGAGAGCGAGGTGCAGGGGCAGCCACACGGCCCAAGTCCTCAGAGCACCTTCAAAACCCCTTTGCATGGGATAATCTCACAAGTCACCTGAAATCTTTGAGACGAAACGCCCCTGAGAGTTTATTCTCTCTTCTTCCCCGTCCCCACCTAAGCCCATCACTTTTATCCTCCAAATGCCTGGGAGGCTCGGAGGACGCATGCAATATCGGAGTATTTTCTAAAATACTCCCAGGAAAATAAACCCCATCGTTCCCGAGCTGCTGAACGCACCGCGGGCGGTCGCAGCTCCGCATGGCGGGGCTGCAAGGCGCCTTGGCCGGTCTTCTTTTGCTAGAGCGCTTCATTTGGAGATGTTTGCGCTGCGGCCGCTCCAGGCCGGGGCACGTGACCAGCAAAGCATCCAGGTTTCTCTCTGAACAGGAATCGACATCACATGCGCTCACGCGCGCGCACACACACACACACACACACATCCTCACGATGGGCTCGTCCAGAGGAAAAGGAAATGAGAAGCAAACCGGCCAAGCTGGGCGACGGGCCGAGTGCTCCCGCGCCGAAAGCCCCGGGGCCCCGCGCCGCCTCCTGGGGAACAATGGCCGCTTATATCAAAAGCGCCTTGATCTTGGGAACCTTTTGATAGATGTTTTTGGAAGAAACCCCAAAGAGCTCAGGCTGCCCTGGTAGCGGCATTGTTTCTGGGCGAAGCGGAGCTCTGCGTGGGGCCGGGCGAATACGGCTGTGAGCCTGCAGGTGTCAGCAATGCTCAGGGAAGCGCCGTTGTCCAAGCCTTCCCCCACCGCGGGGTGGGGAAAAAACCAACGCTGAAATGCACTGAGCTGGGCAGAAAATAACTGGGAAATTGCAACTGGGAAAAATACGGGGAGGTTGGGCCTCTTCTGGCTTGTGCTCGTGTTTGGTGCGCGCGGGAGAGGTTCGTCTGGCTGCTGGCGGCCCTGAGCCAGCCGCCCCGGCTTCGCTGACGGTGCGTGCCCCTTCCCGTTCGGCCCGGCAGGCAGACACGCTGAAGACATCTTCGGGGAGCTCTTCAATGAAGCCAACAGTTTCTACCTGCGGATGAACTCGCTGCAGGAGAGGGTGGACCTGCTGGTGATCAAAGTGACGCAGCTGGACTCCACCGTGGAGGAAGGTGAGGAGCTGTGGGGCCGCTGGGTGGATCTCAGCCAGCCCGCTAAGGCCACGTTGGGCAGCGATTTCATTTTTGACTTTGCTCCATGGAGGCAGGAGAGCAGGCAGTGAAAAGCGCGTCCCCGTTCAGATGGACAGTGTGAGTCCTGCATGGTGTGTGGGCCTGTTTTGAAAGGACACTTTCATGTTAAAAATAATGGGCATCGTCCTTGGTTCTGCCCGGCCAGAGGGAGGGAGCTGTGACAACTGCAGGACCGACCCCTTAGCCCGTGGTATAGAGGGGCAACACGCGAAAGAGCTCTCCAAAAATCATCTCGCTGCACCACAGGTCCATTAGCGGTGCAGGATACCTGCGTCTGGTGAGGAACATTTGCTCAGCCCTGCTTAGCTAGAGAGCGGCCCAAAGCTGGAGGTCAGACAGTCCTTCCAAAACTCTCCTGCGATCTGCAGTAACGTCCCATGCAGCTACTTCTGCTGCTTGGTGGGGCGACTGCTGATCTCGGCAAGACCCAAGAGTTTGCAGAGTCTTGTTTTCTGTGTCCCTTGGGAGAGCACAGCCATCATCCCTCCGGGGAGATGGACTCAGAGCTTCCTCGCCAGAGGTCCTCCCCGTATGCCAGTGCCCTCCCAGAGGAATTCCCCTTGCGCGCAGAAGGCACAGGCCTGGCGTGTGGGAGCAGCATACTCAGGGCTTGGGGCTGAGATCAGGGGCTGGTGCTGCGCCCACGAGTGGTGCCCAGCCATGGCACCACGTTAAAGCCGTGGTGCATGGCTGCGTGGTGACTCTGTCTCCTTCCCGCACCCCCAGTTTCGCTGCAGGACATCAACATGCGGAAAGCGTTCAAGAGCTCGACGGTGCAGAACCAACAGGTCGTGTCTCGCAACTCCATCCCCAACCCGGTGATGGAGATGTACCAGCGGTGCGACAAGCCCCCACCACTCAACATCCTCACACCTTACAGGTAAGGGCAGGCCACAGTGCTGCTCCTGGTGCAGGCCTGCCCAGCTCCCCCGCGCTTCTTTGGCCTGTGCTCACTCCAGCAAGGTGGCGACAGGGAGTCACGGGGCACCCATAGGGTCATTTCCAGGAGAGTGATCAGGGAGGTATGACCCGTTTGCTGTTTGCCGAGGGCTTAAGAGGCTGTTTTCTCCTTGGCCTCGTGTTGCTGTGCCACAGCCTCCACTGTATAACGAGCAAACGTACATTCATGGCCTGGCAGCTTACAGCCCTGATCGTATCCAAACCACACTCTTCAGGGGAAGGGAGGGTCTTCTCCAGAAAATCATGGGGTTTCCTTCATTGCTGGATCAGCTGGTGAGTCCGTAATGCCTGAACAAGCCACTCTCATGTCCCTCTTCTTACCGAAGCCAGTGGCCTGTGTGTAAAGCCTGAGCTGGGCCACGTTGCAGGGGATGAAATGAGAGAGGGTGGGGTACGTGGAAGTGCTAGCAGGGAGGGCTGTGGGGTGGCAGTGACAGCAGGTGGGAAGGGCTGGAGGGACAAGGGACTGGACTGCCAAATTTCCCGAGTACTGGATTCATCCGTGGACCACTATAGATAGCACTGAAATTCCCCTGAGGTTGCCTCCTGTGTCAGATAACTCCCTCTGTCCCTCCCCAAATACCTCCAGGGATGACAAGAAGGACGGCCTCAAATTCTATACCGACCCCTCCTATTTCTTCAACTTATGGAAAGAGAAAATGCTGCAGGCAACTGAAGATAAGAGAAAAGAGAAGCGGAGACAGAAGGTAAAGGGCACAAACAGGGTACCCAGTCGGACTGGAAATTAGGCTAACCGTGAATTAGGCTGTTCTACTTGGAGTTTCTCTTGCGCTCTCTCCCCCTCCTGAGGTGGGTACATCTCCATGGTGCCTCGGTTCCCATAAGCGCTGTGCTGCCAGGCTGGCTCTGAGGGGTCATTTTCTATTGCTGGGTGTTGCTACCTCTGCATTACTCGTGGTATGAAGGGCTTGAGATGGAGATGGAGCTCCAAAAACACTAGATTTGAGGTTTCCCTAGTGACCAGACCAGGCCTGAAGGAGCCACAGCAAGGGTCGCTGTGGGGAGTTTCCCGGTTTGCTCCTTGCACCTATTTGTCGTAATGCTGAATCTCAGGGCATCCCACTGACCCCTGAGGTGGTCTTCTTGGACTCATGCCCACTGCTTGGCACACCTTTGGCTAAAAGAGCCAGGAGAGCTTGGGCCCTAAGCCAGATATGAGAGAGGAAATCTGGGGTTTCTGTTCAAATTAGCAGGGCCCCCTCACACACCTGTACCTTGCAGAGTGTTTAAGGAGTCCAGGGATGTGTTCAAAGCCACTTTTCTTCTGAGCTCCTTCCTCACCTGTGATGTTCCCGCTTCTTGTCCCATTTTGCCTGGCTAGGACCTGTCTGACAGGCCTTAGGTCCCTCTGGGTGAGAGGCTGGAGCATGTTCTGACTGGGTGCTGGTGGTGCTCGTGGGCTCAGTGTCTGGGCAAGGACCATTCCCGATGCACCTCCTCATGCCCTTAGCAGAACATGTCCCACAGACTCCAGACACGCAGTGTCCTCTTGCCGCTCACACTGCGCTGTGTGCAGCTCTGAGCCCGCGTGGCTACAGGTGTGCTAATGGGCTTGCTTGTCTGCTTCCAGGAACAACGGTTAGTAGAAGACTCCACCCGGGAGGTGAAGAAAGTGAGGAAAGCCCGTAACCGGCGCCTGGAGTGGAACATGATGGCGTATGATAAAGAGTTTCGACCCGATAACAGGTTCTCACCATCCCCATATCACATGGCATCATCGGAAGGATCACTGTCCCCAGATAATAGGCAGGTTTTACCTATTACACGTTTAGCTTGCTGGATTTTCTTTGCTTTTCTTCACTTTTCTTTTTTTCTTTTCAGTCTTTGGGTGGACGTGTAGTCAAAGGCAGGGAAGGTCTCGTAGGCTAGCAAACAAGGCTAGGGCAATAAGCCATAGACCTGTGTAGTTTCCCTCTGCCTCCCAGGGTGGAGTAGAAGGTCAGAGCACTTTTCATTTAGGAGCTATGGGAAGATGTGAACCCAGATTTGCAGCAGCGAGAGACTAGTCCAGTTCTGTTGGTGTCTTCCTACCCTCTGCTGTGTCAGTGCTTTCTTGCATGTCTGTATTTTTGTGCCCCTCCTCCATGTTTCGTCACTCTGGCCCCAGGCGCCAGCTGGTGCCATCCTGTTGCCCCGAGCTCTCCACACCTCCTCTCCTATCCTGCCTTCCATCCAGGAGTACAACCTTTGGTATTTTTGTGTGCCGTAGATCTTATGCATCTGACGCAGCCGATCACTCATATCCAGCCAGCCCTAACCACCCCGCGCAGCAGATGCTCGCTCCAGCCTCCCACCTGGCGGCAGACAGCAAGGAGGTCGTTCTAGTAGCTAACCAGACCCAGGAACACGTCTACAGGCCCTCAGCTGCAGGAAGCCGCCAGAACAGCCTCAGCCGTGTCCAGCAGCCCCATGTGCCGCAGCCTCCAGAAGCTATATTAAATGGACCAAGACCTCACTTAGTCAAGGATTATGGGTATGGACTTTAACTTGCCTCTTTTATTCTGAGCCTTGTCCTGCCGCGTATAGTAACTTCCATGGATTTGCAAAGCTGACAGGTTGGCAGGCCTAGGAGGGAAGCAGTGTGAGACAGGCAGTCCCTCAGCTGTCCCAGTGTGCAACACAGAGGCTGAGTCTTCCCAGTCCCTCTAGTGCTCTGCTCACAGTGCCCAGCCAGCCCGGCAGCCACCCAGGACGGTATTTTTGTGGGAGGCTGACCCATTCCCCCTAGGGCTCCACGAGACAGTCTGGGCTCAAGGCGGTACTGCGGCAGTAGGAAGTGCCTGGTGCAGCTCCGAGCACCTGCTCAAGGCCTCCTCTGCAGCTCGCATGGTCTGAAGCTGCTGGCAGGGTCAGTCAGTGCCGTGGGAGCTGGGGCCAAATCAGTCAGGAGCACTCTTTTGGGTAACTTCATGTCTGGGGCACAGCTGAGGGAAGCGCTTCACCCTAGGCAGCTCTTGTCCTATAGGAGATGTGGGTAAGGCAGACAGAGGGGAACGTTTTTGTCCAGGATGTTGGCTGGCTTCCTATGACCATGTGTCCTATAGCCCTATCTGTTGGCAGCCTTCCCCATGTCCATTCCCCAGGCCTGTAACCCTGCGGGAGAGATTGTACAGGGGTCAAAAGCAAACCAAGGCAGCAATTCGGTCCATGCAGGTATCTAGAGTGGGATTCTTGGCTGCCTTTAGCAGAAAGCATTGCTTGTGCCATTGATGCGCTTTTGGTCCTCCCGTTGCAGCCAGCAGCAGATGCCGATGGCAGAATACTTCGTGCCGCCGGCTCCTCCACCCCCACCACCCATCATCCCCTCTGCTCAGACTGCCTTCGACAGCCCCATCTCAGCACCCCCTGCGCTGGCACCCAGTGCGGGGGCCTCCACGGCGCACCCCTCCTACGCGCCCTCGCCGCCTCCTGCTCCACCCTGCCCCTACTCCGCTTCCCCACCGCAGACTGGCCCCATGGGGCCCCCCGTTGCGCCCCCTCCACCTCCGCCAGGTCCCCCTGCCATCACCGCCTCGCCAGCTCACTCGGCTTCGCCCCCGGCTGTCCCCGTGGAGCCTCGGAAACCGCAGATCCCGCTGATCCCCATGAGCGATGCCAGGAGCGACCTGCTTGCTGCCATTCGCAGGGGTGAGTTATAGCCATGGGCCAGCAATCATGGGGTTAATGGCAGAGGGAACGCACAGCTGAGTGACAGGCATTGCGTGAAGACAGTGACACATGGATGGGACCCAGCGAAGGAAAACAAGATGCAATGCTGGTATTTGGAGAGGATGGGCCGTCTGGGGAGAGAGGAATTATTAAAGGTAGGAGAAGCAGGAGAAGGAGGCTGCGGCTGAGAAAATGTGAATGTCAGGAAACACCACCACTCATGCTGAAGCATACTCATTTCTGGGGGTATGGAAGAAATCCATCACTGGAGACTGTGCAGAGTGCTACAAGGAGGCCCGGCAGATCTCCCATTTGCACTGACCTCCTTTCAGTTTGTAGCTGATGATATAATCAGCAACGTCTTCTATTTTTCCTTCCTGCTTGCTGCAAACCTTCGGGTTGAATGGAAGTGAAGGAGGAGGGTTATAGCTTTATAATCATGTGTTTCCCTCTGGTAGGGGTTTGCAGCCCTTCCTGTTTCAGCCAGTACTTTCAACATGGGGGGGCTGCTAGTTCAGTATGGTTGCATGTGCTCATAGGCAATGGATATGTTACCCCTAAACATTTTCCACATTTTCTAATGCAGGAATTCAGCTCCGGAAGGTCCAGGAGCAGTGGGAGCAAGAGGCCAAGAAAGAGCCTGTGGGCAATGATGTGGCTACAATCCTCTCCCGCCGGATCGCGGTGGAGTACAGCGAGTCTGACGATGACTCAGAACTGGACGATAATGAGTGGTCAGATTGAGAGAGCCTGGGATGCTGTGTTGGATGGTAGCTCCTCCACTTTATGCACCACTTTTCCACACCAGGTGTGTATAGGCGCCTTTCCTAAAAGTCAACGCCAGCCATGGTCTGCAATTAGCCCCACTTATTCAGGAGCTTTGCTTTTTACCCTATGTCAAAAAAAATTCTGGCAGCATTACCACTGGAAGGTATACATTGGTAGGATACATCTCTGAGGCAGTGATAACAGCAATTAGCAGCACCTTCATGTTTAATGATGTTAAAAACACTATGAAGCCCGGTTAATAGAATTACTCCAGATCTGCACCTGTGTAAGCAAGATCAGAGGCTGGCCTGCAATATATTTTTTTAGAGAAATTAAGCTGAGGAATAATAGTGTTTTTTCAGCTAGGTGTTAAATTTGTAACAGAAAGCTACTGGAAAAGAAACCTGTTTCTATAGCTGATATCACCATCCGGCCATGGGCATTTAGACTGCCAGGCACTTTGTGTTTCGCTCTGATGTCCAAAGTTGTGGGACTGGGCTGCGTGAGCCAGGGCCAGTTCCCATTCACTCCTCTGAAAGTTGCATGGGGACACACGCTCCTTTTTCCCGTAGCACCGTGTTTCACAGCAGTCATGGGTGGCGGTTGCTGTGTCGTGGTGTCACTCTCTGGAGCACTCCAGGGGAAGACCAAGACCTTTGCGACATGCTTCCATCCTTGGGACCACTTTTCCGGGAGAAAAAAATGTGAGGCAAGGCCAGCAAAAACCGCATTGGCAGCTGCTCTTTCACAGTTTGCAAGGAAACAAAGCATTTGTCACTGCTTCGAAAGGTGCAAAGCGTGCTCTCCTCGGGGAGGGAAAATGGGCTACCTGCAAGGAGCAGGAGAGCTGCATTGTCTAGGGTATTTTCCTGAAGCCCAGCTATTATTGGCCTTAGTGCTATATCATTTTATTGTTATTTGAAAATAAATTAATTAGATAAAAAGCTGCTTTTAGGTAAACCCAAACCAGTGAAAGGAAGCGAGAGCAAAGTTTAGTCTTGTTCTCTTGATTTGCACTTTGTAGTTCCACTAACTAACTGTGCTAGTACAGCTGAGATTAACTCAGATCTGGTGCACTAATTACTGTACGCCTGATTCTTCCCCTTCCTCTTACTCCCAGAGAGTCCTGGGGGTGGTGTTCAGCAAAGCGAGGCACTGACGAGGGAGCCTGGCAGAATTGGGCCTCAGCCACGATGCTGAAAATACCGGCGCGTGTTCTTTGGCTTGTTCATCAAAATAGAGAGTGATTCATAGAAGCCTCTTCACGCAGCTATTAAAGGAGGGTTCATGGGAAGCCAGAATGAATGGGTGCGAAATACTGAAAATATCACAGTCAGGAGTAAGAATTTGCAGAGAACTGCAAGTGGTTTCCGACCGCTTCAGCAGAAAATGGGCCAGTGTCAGCCGTGATCTTGTCCGATTGGCACATCTGGCCGTGCAGGGGCCTTCCCTTGCAGGACACCTATGCAGTTCACCAGCAAAAGCAGTCCCATATACTGTGAGTCCCTGAATGGGGGAGACTGAATCCCCACATTGCCTCTCTTCTGGTGAGGATTTTGACTTTGGGCCCATCTTCCTGGCTTTCCCAAAGGCCAGGTGGTGAATGTGAAAGAACTGAGGGCTGCCAAAGCCCCAGTGTTTTGAATACCTAAGAGTGAATAGACCTGCAAGAGATGGAAGGAATTGTCTGGGACCCAATACAGGTATCATACAGGTATCGTTTGGCTGATGCGTCAGTTCACCCTGAGAAACGTTAATATTGAATGATGCCCTGAGTATCCATTTGTTTTCCCACTGGAGAGAAACCCTACTTGGTGAGGTGAATTGAACACAACCTCCATCCTCCTTTACCTAGTTGTTTTGTGAGCTAAGAAATATCGCCATAAGCCATCACTTACGCTAACTAATGCGAAATATTCTCTGTCCCTTAGATTTGACACTTCCCGTATCTCCGCATCCCACTGACTCCTTCAGGTGAGATATGGGCAGTGCTTAGAAGCATACCACGTTTCTCTCCACCCACAGCAAGCCTCTGAGTCAGTCTCAGGAGCGGTATATTTGGCAGTGGTGGGCAGCCTGAGTGGATGCTGCCATGTGAGTGTGCGTGGAAGTGGGAGTGAGGGATAAAGAAATCTCAGTAGGGCCTAGGGGAGAAGGATGCTCTCCCCTAGGAGAAGTGGGGCACAGGATTGTCTCTGAGTTGCAGGGCTGAGTTTGGGGGCTTGAACCGAGAAGTAGCATGGAATATGGGAGAGAGCAAGCGTGTGTTTGAAAAGGATTTAGGGTGGAAAACAAAGTATGCTGTGCCGTCAATGAATCTTCAGTTCTCTCTGCACCGTCTTTGGCCGTGTCCCTGCGAACTTACCAGGTCTGATTTTCCCTTGACATACGTAAAACTCCCATTGACTTCAGTGCACTGATTTTCAGAGTAGCAGCTGTTCAGAAAATCCTTAGATTTAACCTCAGAATTTCATATCCTGGCAGTGCTGCTGGCATTTAAGCTCCTCAGACACTCATCCCACCCAGCTTGTCTAGGGCTAGACACTTTGAACTTCAGAGAAAGACCTCAGAATATGAGATTGGCCAAAGCAAATCAATCCCCACTTCTGCCTCGGCTGGCATAGAGGACAGCTGGAAATCTCCAGTAGTCACAGGGAGAGCTGTGGGGCTCCCATTTCATTGCAGCTCCTACAGGTGGGTGGGTAGGGGTGCAGGGGAGGGAAGAGAAACCCTCGTCCCCAGACGAGGAGCAGTAGAGCGGTATGGCGCACGGAAGAGCTCACCTGCAAAGCCCAAGGAGACAGGGATGAGAAAAGGAGGCAGGGAAAGTGGGCGTCATGAAGCTGACCGGGAAATTCCTGATGTTCAGGGTACACTGAAGGCGCTTGCTTCTGACGTTAACCCCCTTTTCAGAGCTAGAGGAAACCCAGAGATACAGAGAAGCACCTGCATGAATTCTTGGCTAAGGCCTGATGTCTCTACCCAGGCAAAAAGCCACTGCGGTGCCTGTAAGGGGCTTTTCTTAGCAAGGCAGATGGGATTCGACCCGGAGCAAGTTCAAAAGAGAATCTTGTAAAAGCTCAGAATAACATTTAAACAGTCACCTATTAGTACTTATTGTGAAGTTTTGTTAATATAGATGTGATTGCAATGTGGTTTGTGTGTGGTAAGGAATTGGTTTTATTTGGAGAATTTGAAAAGAGTAATAATACTTTGTGCACCTGTGAAAGAGAGAGAAAAGAACAGTAAAGGGCTGTAGCAGTTGCCGTTATCTGTTACATTGCTCCATAGGCTACATAGTAGGCTTTGGGGACCCAACAGTGGGGCTCAGACGGTGCTGGGGTGTCTCTCACCAGTGGGGGGAAAGGGCACTTGAATTGCCCCTTGTGTCTTTGTGACTGTGCACAGGAAGGAGAAGGGCTGCAAGGAGACTTCCCCCAGGACCTTGAAGGAGGCTGGGCGCAGTCCCTTTCCATACACGGTGGGTGCCCTGTGGTCTAACATATGGGACAGCTCAGTGAGAAGTGTGCGATGAGGAACCCTGGGCTTCTGCCTTTGACAGGGCCTCCAAGCTCAGCTCCAAGCCCCATCGCTGGCTTACAACTCCAGAGGTTGGTTTTCCTTTGGCTTTGTGCTGGTTTTGGAGCTGGGTGTCTCCACCAGCTTCTCTGGCTTACTCTGGTTTACTCTAAATGATCTGGTGCTTGAATCTGGCCAATGAGTTTGCCTAGAGATTGGCTGCTGCCAGGCAGTCTCCCACTGACATCAATGCCAAAACTCCTGTGAAATGTCAAAGAGACAAAAATCAGCTGGCTCAGGGACAAGAGCTCCTCCTCAAGAGGAAGGGAAAAGCAGACCCTGCAGGTTGGGGAGCAAAGATGGTTTCAGGTCCCCTTTTGTTGCTCTGATTCTCAGAAGTGGAGCTGATCCTGGTAGGAATTAGAGAGACACTGAGCACCCCTAAAAGCCAGCATCCTGGTAGCCTTCATTGATGTGGAGATGCTTGCCCAAGCCTCACATGACTCTTCTGAGTTGCTTGCATGGGATGCAGCTCCTGCACCAGGGCTGTTCCTCAGGTTGCACCACAGGTCGTGGTTGGGTCCTTTTTCTTTTCATGCACTAGTTGCACTCTGTGTGTCACCTTAAACTATGTGATAAGCAGGAGCCGTGGCTGTAGTGGGACTGGCTACGTTGGCACGTGGTGGGTCAGGATTGACCCTGTAGCCTCTCACTTCCCTGTCACCTTCAGTAAAATTTCACTCTGTTTGGGGTTGACAGCAGTAAGTAAGTTAATGTAACCATGTTATTGTCAGGGTCAGTGCCAATTGCATGGCAAAGTGCTTGACAATCACGTAAATCAAGCCTTGTCTGCCCTATGTCCAGGTCACATTCGCAGAGCGAATGCGCAGGCAGGAACCTTATGGCTGCAGGAGGAGCAGGGGGTCGCCGTTGTTTCTTTGTGCGCTTATTCTCTCACACCATTTTCTCCTCCCTCAGACCTCCTAGCACATGTCAACACTGTTTGCACTCTGCTTAAGGGAATTCCCATCCCCTAATGAGGAGCCCGTTTCATATACCAAACTCCAAAGCAAATCAGCAGGACCATAACCTCCCAGTGTTGCCCACTGCTTGAGAATATGCAATGATCCAGCTCTTCCAGTGATATAAACTGCCTTGGCTCCTCTGACTTCACTGAACTTATCTTGATGCCATGCATGGGAGTGATGTAAGAGTAACCTCCACAGTGAGATACCTACATCTGAGCTTGTTGCTCTAGGTTTCTTGTGTAGCCAATGGAGAGGTAATCTGTGTAGTCAGTGACATACTTAGTTTTGTACTGAAGTAGACATCTGTATTTGGTCAGATCATAGTGCCCCTTGCTCTCCATTGACTATCAGGGGAACCTGAAATCACCCTGAGGCAGACATGTACGTGGTAGCCTTGCGAGTCACCTGATCTGGTGATACCATTTCCTGCAAGGCCAACTCTGCTAGCGGCCTGAACATCCTCATTTGCCTTTGATTGAGGGACGCAGCCACATTCGAGGATGACCATCTTTGTTTTAGGTGTGTTCATCCATTTTTGCCTATGTCACTTATGAAATCAAACGCGAATAACGCCAGCTCCTTAGGTGGTCTGGATCGGGTTAGCTCTGATGCAGTTAGCTGTGCTATCCTAATTAACACTGGCTGAGTATTTGACCCATATGCTGCGTGCTCAGTATTTTGTACATATGTGCCTATTTCCTTACACTCTTCCAAAAGTAGGCCATGCTCTGTTATACAACCTGAAATGCTCAAATCCCCATGTGGGCTGATATAAAAGTGAATATTTAAATATTTTATCTAGCTTGGCAGCCATTAAAAATACAATTCAGGTCACAGATGATTGAATTGCTCCTCTCTCTCAAGTATACCAAAAGTGGGCTGAGGAGATTCTCCTGTACATTAAGGTATCATGTTCCATGTTAAAATATAGCAACAGCATTTTATTGCCAACAGATAATCACATAGTGCCAAACATTTAATGAGCCCAACCTATCTCTTGAGAGTTTCCCTTTCCATTTTATCTACGTTTTCCTACCTGACAATTTATGGGCATAGATTAAAAATAATAAATAAAAGATTGCCAACAGGGGGAAGTATATTCTGTGTGCATACAAATGAATTAGGCTGGAGTCAGTGAAAGAATAAATAAGCTGTTTTGATTCTGCTTGTAGATCTGAACGGAAGCCTCTAGTCCATGAGGTCCATTAGGAACCTCTTGCGCCTATCTGATTTACCTGAAAGGGGACATTAGAGAGACATCTATTCCGATGGTAAATCGGTCCATTACCTGTGAGATCTAATGTCAGTTATGAAGGCTGGTCAGCTAAAGTTTTGCTGAGATTGGGGAAAGTTTTGGCAGCGTTCACATCCCAGCATTGCATCCCAGCTTCCCCTTAATTTAGGTGAGCGTTGGACCTGGCTCTTGAGGCTAGTAGCTCTTAGATGGTCAGTGTCCTGAAAGAAAAAAAAATGTGGGGGGGAGTTTCTAACTTTCCACCCCAGACGGAG